TCGCAGATGGAGTTACGCATATGGAGTCACACAGATGGAGAGAAGCAACAATATACTTTATTGATATAAAAGAGTGAATTAACAAAGTTCAATGGTAAATGCTACAGTGGTTTAATGAGATTCAATGGCAAGGCACTGTATACAGTCCAGCCCAAACCATGCCAATCATTTAGCTAAGACTTCAAGTTTAATTTAGCATGCTATTAATCACTTACCGAGAATCTGTTGCAGTGAAGAATCTCTTAACCTCGAGGTGTAACCTTGAGAGGTGTCCCTACCCAAGGGGAGACCCTGGCATGCAGCCCACTGGTGTGCAGGGCAGCTCAACTGGCCCTGGGCTGTCCACTATTTATAGAGTAAGATGATTGACTTACAGTTATATTTGCATACCAGTGAGACATCTGGATCTCTGTTCCAGACAGCTCTTGGCTACCAAGTTGCCATCCATCCCCCAAAGTCCAGCCTAAGCTGCATGCAGTCATCATGACCCCCGCTGGTGGTTATGGCTTGGGCTGGGGGGGAAGCACGCTGCCACGCTTGTCTCTGGTAAGAACATAGCCTTTATTTTCCTTCTCTTGCTTTTGACATCCTCTCAAGTTTTTGGTGCCTGCCTGTAAAAGGAAAACTTCACATAGATGTCTATACTGTTTGGGGGGAAGGCCATTTACTTAATAATTATGATACATATTCAGTCCAAGTCTGTACTCAGCAAGAGGAAAGCTGCCAAGATTCCCTGATCAAGCAATATGTTAGGCTGGCATCTGATCTGCATACCAGCTCGTATTTTGGGGCGTCTTAATACCTGAAGGTATAGAGAGCTGTTACTTACCAGCTATCAAGGAAGTTTTGGGAAAGGTCTAGAAAAAGTCTGTTTAGTTGAAGAACAAGGTAATGGAAATGAACAGAAGTAAGAAGGACTGATTCTTAAAGTTATCCAAATAAAATAAAGAAGACCATGTACTCTGGAAAGCTGTGTCAAAAAAAAAAAAAAAAGTGGTAATGAGGGCCAACAGAGCATGAGGAACAACTCACAAAAAGAGTCAAAATGTGTAAATCAATAGCATGCCCTCACCAGCCATAATGTTGTACATTTCTGGTGTCTCTCACCTTAAATCTGTTATAGTGAAAGTAGGAAGAGTTTGGAAAAGAACAGTGAGGATGTTTGAGGGCATGCAAGAAGATAGATGCACGAAAGAAGTGAGCAAAATAGGGCTTTTAAAGCTGAATGAGCTGCCAAGAGCACAATGTGATCGATAGTATCTTTTTCCTTTTGATTACATAGTCAAGAGCTTTCATGTTCCTTTCAGAAGTAATGGTGCTAGTGGGAAGAACTCCCTCTAATGTGGAAGGGGTTGTTCCTTCTGTTGAGGAACCAACGCAGCCAAGGGGAGGGAAAACTTCAGAAAATGCTGGATGTGAGAAGTGAGAGAGACATAGCAATGCTGGAAGATAGAAACTCAAGCAAAGAGGTTGCTGAGAGGCGCAGGGATTAGTCATGTGAGTTGAGGCCTCAGAGGAGGCAAGAAGGAACTTAGAAGAGACGGAGAGGACTGACCAAAGTCCCCTGCAATTCAGAAAGTTGTAGTGTTAGCTGCAACTAAGCAAGGAAGTAAGAACCTCCCTGAAAAATACTGGTAGGGAAAAAGCTTTTCTTTCCTCAGTTCTGTTGTTTCTACTCACTTTGAGTTTTCCATGTTGAAAAAGTTTAAAACTGATTTTTAGCAATTCTGATACCAGGCGAGCTCTTTTCTAGGCAGCTCCACCTTTCAATTCTGGAGTCCCATCAAAAAGAATATTGTCATTGTCTGCAAAAATGATAAATAGCTGTGAAAAGCTAAAGAGATATAACGGTCATCTGCCTGTTCCAGTATAAGACTTCTTAGAAATCAGTTGAAATGGCTAGGTCAGAGCAAACAAAATTGGGTGGGTTTGGCTGGGTTTTTTGTTTTCAAACAGTATGTAGTTAAGCTGCAGAAGTCCTTACCACAAGATGTTGTAGATGCTATCACAGGATGGAAATCCAGTCAGAACTAAAAATACAGACATCACCGCTGGTTCAGGAAACCCATGAGCCACAAATTGGAGTCTGGAAAACTATTTGGTGAAGGCAGCATTTCGTTTTTCCCTAGGCTGTGCTTTTGGATGCAGTAGATGCCAGAAACCCTTTGGCCTGATTCAGTACAGTACTTTTGCTTACCTGCTGCTGCTCCACCCAAGTGTACTTAGAAAGGTCATTCTGTCTTTTGTGGCTGTGAAATAGTCTGGAGCCTGATCTGCTGGAAACCTCCAGATGGGCCAATACAAGCTTAATTCCCTAGAGTGTGGAAGAATTCAGAATGATGAGAAGAATGAGATGAATGTTCTAGGTAGTCATCTTTGTGATACTAAGCAAAATACTTTAGTGTGATTGCAGTTTGGCTAATTATGCACTCATGCTGCTCTGAAGTCTGATTTGCAAAAATGATGAGCAGTGATATCAGTAGAAACTAGTTTTTGTGTATTGAAGTCTTCTATAAACGCTTTACTTCCAAGTTAACAGGTCCTTGGCATTTCACTTAGGCAGTCATTTACTAGACACTTTGGAACCTAATCTTTCCAGGACTTGCTTATCAATAAGTAAATAAGGTGATATTATCCTCTTACCTCACTGAGGGCTGGGGAAGAGTTCTAAGGAACTGTAAAAGTAAACAGTGAACCATTTTTCTGCTGTAGCAGTGAGCACTGTGTACAGAGGATAGCAAAGAAATGAACAGTGCAAAGTTGTACTTGAAGAGTTTGGGAGTACATCAAGCTCCAAGACTGAAATACAGGGATAGACAGTGCTGAAAGCTTTTCATCTTCTGAGTGTGATCATCAAATGCATTAAAAAGGAGTATTTTGTAAAAAAGCATTTTACATAGTAAATGCATGTGGCTATGTACAACTATATTGCAATGTATGTAAACAAACAAAAGCAACTCAAATTGGACAAGGGGGGTAGTTTTGCTTGCTTTCATTTTGATGCTATGTTTAAATTTTGAATTATGCTTTTGTGTGTTTTGTGTTTGCAGATTTCAGTTATTTCTTTTGATTCTTTTCCTAATTAGAGGACTTCAGAATTTTAATCTGAAAATGAAGCTGTCGCGCAAAACCTTTATTAATTAAGATTTTTTTAATTTAGCAGCTCTACTGTTTCAGGGTGAGCTTGAAGGAAATTCAGCTCTGATTATTTCAACTATAACTATCAGAAGTAGAAAAAGAAAAGAAAAAAGAAGAGAGGATGATATCGGAATATGTAGGTATAGGTGACCATGGAACATCTCTGTTGAGTAGGGCAGCACATTTATAAATACGTATTTATATATCGCCTTGCATAATTTAGGCAGGACTTTATTCCTGTTTTTATTCTCCCTCTTTTCCTTTAAAAGTCCAGTGTGATTAAACTGCTTCAGGAAAGACAAGTCTTGTGAAAGATTGAGGAAAGATATGAATACAGAAGATAGGATGAGATTAAAAACAGGGAAAAGGAGCTAACGGGAATGTTGGGAGCAGAGTTTAGGAAGCTGTCGTTCACAGATAGGCAGCGTTCCTGTTTCATTTTGTTTTCTCGCTATTTCCTCAGATCATTTTATTAATTCAGATACTCATACAGTGACTACAAATCATGCAATGTAAAGTAATAGGTCTGTGGGTATGTGGTTCGGGGAATTTTTGCAATTTTTATATAGATCTTACTAGTCATTTTGAAGCATTTTATATTACAATAAGAAGAAAGGATAGACTCCTTTGTAGCTTTGAAAGTTAAGCAGCTTTCCAGTTACCCACAATGCATTACCCAGATGCATTGCCCACAGTGCCCCAAACACGGCTTACCAAATCAAAGATACGGGGTGGTTGGTTTTTATTCTGGCATACCTTTTGTTCCAGCTTTGCTTACTTTTTTAAAATTTTACTTTTAAGTTGTGACGTCCCCATGACAATTCCTACTATCTCATGCAGGAGAGGCATGTCTAAATCTTGCTGGGTTCCCTCCTCAAAAAAAAAAAAAAAGATTTCTATATGAAGATCTCTAGATGCAATATTTGTTTGAAAATATATTAAGAATAATAGGTCATGCTGTTTGATGTAAGAAGGAAGCCACATGAAGGAGCAGTGCTGAGCAATGTGCTGAACAACCTACATATGTGATCCTTGGAGTCCTGGGCTGCGCTGCAAAGCTTCATCAGCACAGATAAGGTTGCTGGGGTGTTGAAAATTAATAGAGACATAGCTGGAGTGACAGAATCCCTGTCATGCACGCAGCAGCAAGCAATACGAGGAAAGTGAATTTGTCGATTCACTTTAGGTTGTTCACAAAGACATTAGAAGTATTTTGGCAGAAAACCTTCTCTTGTCAGTGTACTTTCATTTTGAGGACTTTTCCAGTACAATTTGCTAGTGTCCCTATGACAGCCGAGACTACTTGTGGCAGCCAAGCCTGGAATCAGAACTTAAAAACAATGCATTAATCTTTATTGAAAACTTCTTTTCCTAGTCCTTATTTTAAAAGAACTGCAAAGTTTTTATTTCATCTGTGAATTTAGTCAACGGAGAATTTTGCTCTTCTGACAGCTTGTGACTGACATTTTGTAGGGAGGGAAAAAAGGATATTTTTACAGTTGCAGTAAGCTCTTTGCTCTTATATTTGTAAGTGTGTTACTTCAAAGTTTGGGTCATTTAGCTTCCTATTATTTTGGTTGCCGCTCACTTAGACCTGAGAAAAATGGGAGACGTTGAGGAAGATTTCTAGTGGAAGCAGAAAAATAAAATGTACTAACTGGGTGGTGATCTTCCTCACATGACTAAAAGAAAAAAAAACAACCACCACAACTGTTTTGCTTTTGGCAGTGCTTGCTACTAAACACCCTGTCATAGTGTGTGAGGTGAGTCACGACCTGTTTATTTATAGCCTTGGCCAATCAAAGCCGAACACTCTGAACTTCATTCAAGACCAGCAGGCACTTAGGATGTCTTGTAAACATTTGCTCTCTGAGCAAGGAGCGCTCTTCTTGGCAGCAAACAGGACAGGTGCCTGGGTTGCTGCTTCTAAAACACAAAACAGACTTGAAGATCTTTGCCTGGATTATCTAGATTGGTAGAGAGAGAGAGAGAGGGGAGATAATTCCTTTACATCTGAAATGCCAGACAGTGAGGATCTGGGACAAGATGAAAGGTACTGTACGTTGATTCTGATGGCCTTCTCGTGCAGCGCAGTACGGACTGGGGCTTTGTGTAATTACTCTGTGTGCTCCTGAGGTCTCAGCCTAACATCAGTTTGCTCTGTGTTATAACAGATCATCTAAGTCTTGAGGGGTTCACCTCTAATGCTAACCTAAGGCTTCTTAAGACAAGTGTTAGATCTTACTGTTTGCATAAAGTTTAAATTGTACGGCTCTTTGGCATTTCTTTAACTGAAACTGAAGGGAAGAAAATACTGGGTGGTTTCTACCTAGTCACTTCTCCCATCTGTGGGACAACTTACAAGCCCCAAAATGTCAGAGACAAATAGTTTAGTCGGAGCTACATTACTGACAGAACCATAACTCATTACTATGAGATAGGGCACTGTGTCCCTTTGAGGTATGCCTGTCTTTCTGAAGTTTAACTTCTATCTTAATTTGCTTGTAAAACCAACAGTCAGGACAAGAAGAAAGTAGTTGGATCTAAAACTTAATAACAATTTAACAAACACTATTTTCTCAAATATGATCCAGCACATTCCTATGAAATAAATGCAGTAATTAAATTAGCTAAATATACAGATTTTAAAATAGATATCTTAAAAATAGATGTTATTTATGTTAGGCTATGACAGAGTTTATAATTTAGGTTTCTTAAAGTTCATGTGGTCTTTCCATAGTTGCGATTTTTACTGTCTTGGTGCTAATCAGAATGTTTGCTCTAAAATGGTGTTGAAGGAATATTTGATCTTGCAAAAAAAAAAAGTCAGGTATGTGGAAATAGACTTTTTTTTTTTTTTGTAAGTTCATTAACAAAATGCCAGAATATAGAAGCAAATTTAAGAAATTACAAGAATCGGAAGTGAGCATTTCATTATGGCTTGGGATTTGATTTCTTCTAGTTATATTTAAATTTGAATATTTACGTGGATGTTTTTCCAATATGTATGTCAATGTGTTGTTGTAAGACAGACAAAATACAGATGATGTTTCAGGTTGTTTGTTGTAGATCAGTGTATTCAGGCATGGTCACCTAATTGGATGAGTGTGGGTGAGTGGATCCCCAGTAGCATAATTGGGTCTCTGCAAGGGTGGGGTCACCTACGCATTTCCGTTTGCAGGGATCTAAGTTGTGTCCTATATGTGACATAGATTAAAAGTAATTGTAGTAGGTAGCATTTTTTTTCTTTTCTTTTAAGAAAATGTTGACTCATTACTGATAGCCACCGAAGTGTTAATTGCTATTCATTAAAAATGTTTAGCTGCATCTCCAGTTCATTACATTGTGTATTTTTCAATACAGGAAAGCACCAATATGCATGACACGTTAAAAAAACGAGGTTTCAGATCATAATCACTTTTTTTTTTCTTTTGAATCCATTTTATAAAGGATATGCATCATCTCCTTCCTTGAAAATGTGTTGTTTGTTTGTTTGGGTTTTTTTTAAGTCAAGATGGGATAAAATCTTAGGAGCTGAGAAGAAAAATAATTTTGAAAAAAAATTATTTCAAAGTTCAGATTTGGAAAAAAAAGCAGTAGTATTTACCAATATGTAAAACAATGCAACTGGTCTGCAAAACATCCAAGCTTTGTAATATCTAACTTCCTTTGTTCACAATTGTTTTTCTATAAAGGCTTGTAGCAAGCTTTGGCAGTTAAACAGAAGTAATACTAGGCATAAACATCTAAAATTATTTTTTTTTTTATGAATCAAAGTTGTTTGTTTTTAAACAAAAGCAATGAATGTTTCTAAAGTAGTGAGCTGAAAAAGCGTGATAATAGGGCCTGCTCTCCCCATTTATCATTTCTGAAACTACCATTAAATTAATTGGCTCTGATTCTAGTCTCTCATCATTTTGTCTTTGCTATTGAGCAAAAAGGTTTGAAAACACAGTTTAATCAAAAGGTTCCATTTTTTTCTGGAATTAACTTGCCATTTTGTCTTGGTGGTAACAAATAGGATATAACTGGAGAACATTCCTACAGAAGTGCTAATGAGATTTGGTGGAGGTCAGAATATTTTGGTCCAAGTTAAACAGGAGGGAATAGAAGCAGGAGCTATGGGAACTATACTGGAGCAATATGGGAACTGTACTGGAGCAATTAATTTTAGAATCGCAAAAGAAGAGACAGTAATGTAAATGCACACATAATGGGGGGATTTTGAGGGCACACTGAATCAAAGCTACCACTCTATATATTTAAACAAGGAGGGCAATGGTATTTTTGTAGAAGCTGTAGAAGGAGCTTTGTTCGCTGATTGGTTTCAGTGCACTGCACTCCTTGTAGCTCCTTCTCGGATGCAAACAAATTCTTAGATCCTCTCCCCTTTTGAGTTCGTGTCCTACTTCAGAAAATATGTAGTATTACATCATAAGTGTATTTCATGATCATTATAACATCATAGTTAAAGATGTGGCATTGGTCAATAGTCTGTTAGTCATACTGTGAATTTAAATGTATAATAAGCAAAGGAACATATGCACAAACACTTCTAAGTAAAGCTACTAAAAAAGTTAAGAGTTGTGAAGATTAGGTTCCCACTCATGTCTTCTGTTTTGTTTTGTCATATGATCCTGGGTGGTAGCAAGAACAGCAAGGAAAGATGTGGTCAAAGGTAAAGGATTGAAAACAGTTTAGCACAAGCACAATGTTTCCTCCTAGTAATTCTTTATCATTAGGTCCCCTATAGCTTTGGTGTAAGATGATATAATTTATATTTAAAAAAAAAAAAGACAACTCATGAGGAATCTAATGATGGTCAAGAGTGTATAAAAGGTACTGTGAATAATCAGTCCTTAAGTGGTGGGAATGCCTGGCTGTAGGTCCTTCAAACAGATACCGACATGTAACTTCCTCTATCAGAACAATGCCTGTATTGTTCTAATTGCCATCACCTGCCTATTATTGAAAAGGATAGTGCACTAAAGCGTTAGCCAGGAACCTTTTATGACTTGAATAAAAATGGGAGAGAAAGCTATGTTATTTTGAACCGGTAGTTTTTTAACTACAGTCTTACAGTTCATGATCTTTCTCAGTATGTGCTTGGACTTAGAAAAATGGAGATCCAGTTTAAAGTCAAATCTGCTTGTTATTTAATTACTTAAAGTATGTTGTTTTGTAATTATATATTTGTTTCTTCTGCTAGTATTAGTTAATAAAGTGGAAAGTTTTTTATTTCCTTTTATGATTGAATTCAATGCACAATTGTAGGCAACGAGTGGTTATCTCATGCCAGGAACTCTCAGTAATGCAGTAATGCATCAAAGTAAATGATTCCCTGCCTCATACCAGATACATTAAGACCCACTGAAAAGAGTCAGAATGAAGTTCTGCACAGAAAAAGTTAAAGATGCCTTGTAATATTACACAAAAAAGTCATTTTCATGGTTTTGTGGGTTAAAAGTATTGTGTGGCTCTTGAAAATCCAATTTTCCTTTGTTGTGCAGCTGCTCTGCAACTCAGGGAATGCTCAGCTCATCTTTCCTAGCTGTTTGACTTTGAGAGGCCTTGAACTAGGAGTATCCCAGCTGAAGAATGTGGAGGCTGAAGGAGGAAAATGAATTGAGTTTGTGAGAAAGGGTTAAAAGAGTTGTCTTTGCAGGTGAAAAATAAATGTGAAGGAATTGCTTCCTACAGCTGGGCAGAGCTGTTTAAAGTTCTGCAAACTTTATGCTTCTGTTGGTAGAGAGAAGACTTCCTTACTTTTCTGAACAAAAATAGAGCAATAAAAATGTCTCTCTTGCATCATAAGTTTCTATTATAAATGGGAAGCTGACCTGGAAGATCCCAGCCCTTATACTGTCTTGGTAGCAAGACAATGGCATGGACTAATAGCGTAGTCTTTGCTAAACAGAAAGCAAATCTGTAATAGTATTTGTGTCACTGGCACGCCCAATTTTCATGCAAATAGATGTTTAAGAAATCTGCATGTATTGACTAAGTCATGACTTCGAACTAATAGCACTTGACTATCAGATCACATTTCACATTTTGAATGACCTCACACTGGAGTAGCTGGTGTTCTACCCGGGAGAGCTGGACAAGAGTAGTACAGGTCAAAAGAAGGGTTTCCCGTGACACCTGACCTATCGGTTTGCTTAGAAGAGGAGCTGGACAATGAAATGCCCCCAATTTAGTGGGAGTGTATTTTGTTTATTTTAGCAGGATTTTCAGCAAAAAGCAACAAAGTTTAGGACAATCTGCTGTGTTGAGGGACTTTTGCACTGGAATCACCTTCAAAAAAGTTGGAGTTAGCCAGTTTGTATCTGATCAGTTACTGAAAAACAATACAGCTCCTTATAAGAATTCATAAGATGATTGATGTTATACTTGAATTAAAGAAATTAACACATCTCTTGCAAAATAAAATCCTGGTAGTAATGGGTCTTATTTATTTATTTATTTATTTAAGCAACCTGTAGGACAAGATGAGTTCCCCTACCCGTTGGCTGAACACTTAAGTGTATTCTTATAACAATAGGATTGCTTTCATTTTCAGAAAAGTTTGTTCTTGACTAGTAATATAAGAAAAAATAGCCTTTTTTTTATGGGATTGATACCGTTTAGCAGCACAGCAGTGGTAAAATATTCCCATGTCAGTTGAAGAGAAGAAAATACCATTATGACTTTAGTTTAACACACTGTGCAAGAAGCATATAGAATCAGGGATGAAAGGTTGCTTCTATTATGTTTTGTTGAAAGTCATATGGCCTGACAAGTCTGCTGTGCAGTCCATTGAGAAAAAACACATCCAGCCTCATCAAACGCTGATAACTTAAACATATGACTTGTACAGGAATATTACTGAAAAAATATTCTTGGTTAAGAAATAAAACGGGGCATGGATGTAACTGCAAGCTGTGAAATAAGATCTTTTTTCAAGCTTTTTATTGCATACCTTCCCTTGAAAAAAACACAGTAATGGCAAGTTGGACTGACTCGTTGTTAATAAAAAGCACCAAATCGAAGTGTCACATGAAGACAGATGTG